CATTATGAAGAAATTATATAGTACTGATTCAAAATTCATGTAATGGTTAGAAGAGAAAAAAATTGGGGAAAAAAAAGACAAAATATGGTACAGCCTTATACTCAGCTGCTTCTAGCTGATGCAATGACATTTATGGATAGGCCTATCAAAACTTAGTTTGTGATATACTCGTAATGTCTATTACCAGCAAGTAAGTGTAACACTCACAATGTTGTAACCAGTTATATTATTAGGATTACATTTTTTAGAAAAAGCTTTTCATTTAAGGCAATTTTAAACTGACATTGGCATTAAGAAATCTTACAGGCTAAGAGAGAGAGAGAAAGAGAGAGAAAACTATGTCAAAGCACTTACCAAACTGACTAAGGACTGAGGACTGAGTAATGGGCAGCTTTAGATCCCAGGATGATGTGGTAGTTGTGGTAGTGGTGGTAGAGCTACTATTGTTTTGTGGAGAGGTAAACTGACCCAAACTTGGAGATTTCAACTGGTCCAAAATTTGGGATCCAGTAGAGTTCTCCAATTTAGAAGATCTAAGTTCTCCAAAGCCAGAACAAAGAACTGCAGACTACCAAAAGACAAAAAAAAAAGGGGGAAGGAGTGGAGTTAAGTATTTAATAAATAATTTGAACATAACCATAGGGTCAATGCCTACAGCTATTTGGCAGCAACCAAAACATCTTCAGCCCTAGATTACTAATAAATGACCAATAAAAAAAATTCAACAGCTGTAGCATATGGCCAGATCCTCTCTGGTTATCACCGATACAACTTCCACCACTGATTGCAACAATATGGATTTACTTGAAACCATGCATCTCAAAATAGCATGTATTTACTAACAGTTGAACTGATTTTCAGAGAATAAATACAAATGCCTAATTTCAAGCCCTCACAATTGACTTAGAATCATGTTTCCACAAAAAGCAGTCAGATATGTGCTTGGAAATAACACATCATAGTTTTCTGGCATAGAATTCTTCACTATAAACAAGTGATTTCATCCTAAATCAGCATGCAGTAAACACATCTGCTCTAAAAAAATTAATATTCTTAATTCCATTCCTTCAACATTTGCAACCTGAATCTTACAAACATTGAAACATCTCATGAAATGACTGGTACTGGAAAAGTTGTTTAACCTGAAATATTTACTCATGAAGAATATTTAGAAAGCTTAAGATAGTTTTACCAGACTTTGAGGAGAATAAGAGTTTACAGCACTGGAGCTGCCAGTTCCTGATGGCATCTGGGTGCTGTGCTGAGAATTTGTGAAGACTAGGGCTTGGCCAAAGGTCTGCTGCTGGGGAGCCTCAAATGAGTTGCCTTCTGCCTCTTGGGTAGAAGTCACAGGCTTTTGAAGCAGTGTTACCAAATCAATGCTGTAAGAAAAAGCAAAGTTTGGCTGGAATAAACATGACAATTAGGCTGTGCTGAAACTGAAGCAAGCACAATACTAAAGCTGCCATACAGGCAACAGAATTATTACTGATTAACGGTCTTTTCAAATAGTGCTTGCCTGCCATACAAAAAGAGGTAGAATAGAGGTTTTTGACAGAAAGTAAAATTCTGCTAGCTGAAACCTTCCACTACAGTTAGAATATAAATTATCTTTGCTCTCTTTTCAAACATTATCAAATTTATAACATCATGTATCACATAAATAACCTATATGATTAATATGACCAAGTAACTGGAGACAAGTCATAAAAGGTACATTATGTTTGAGTGGATCCTGCCTGCAAGCCCTTTATATATATTGATAAACCACATTCTCTCTATATCACGCTATCCCTTTAAAAAGGGCAAGGGATCAAAGTCCTACCTCTGTATGGGGTGGGTATGAGGACAGTAAAGAATACAGTCACACATGCAGCAACTGAGTGAATGTATGACATGGAAGTCACAAGAGCAGCGGAAATAAAAGCTAAGTTTCTCGGATACTAGACACATCCAAAATTACTCTACCACACATATCTGAGCAGGATGAGGAACGTGAATTTTCTTATATTTAGCATGGCTTACTAACCCCTACCATATGTTTAGCACAGGTTTATCCAAGGAAAAGCAAAGCATTCAGACAATAAAAGAAATATACTCCAAAAATTCTGATTTAAGTTTATCCTAAATATACCACAGGCTTGGGCTGAAGAGCTGCTTCCAGCACTTTCATTAGCATAGACTTCTTAGTGCCCAAA